ATCTCAACTTTTTGTTCATTGCCTTCTAGTCTTTTTTTTCCATATTGAGCTACGAAACAGTTCGAAAGTATAGAAAATTTTCTCAGCTGCAACTTTGATGAAGATCGTTTCTATGTAAAACGAGACAGGAAAAAGTTATTAATTATTTAATAGATTGGTAAACTTATGACATGATCAAGCAGCTGCTCTGTAGGCAACACTGTATTTTGCAGTGTGACATAGTAGCCATGATTTTTGTGTCCTATTCAACGCCCCAGAAACACAAATGTTGCCTGCTGAGCAGTTGATTGAGCATGATCATAAGACATCAGTGCATTGAACCATTGATAACTTGCATTTAATCAAAAAGTGGTCTTCAGCAAAGTTGTAACTGGGAAAATTTCCTACAAGTACATTGAAAGTTTTTGAAGCAGACTGATATGGTGAATTATTAGATAGACATGAACAAAAATCTTGGTTTTACCATAGTAATTCCCATACAAACTTCAAATGGTTTGTGCCATCTCAGTTTCTCACCAAATGGGTTCAAATTTTGAGAGGCTAGTCAGGATCCGATTTGGATTCGTTTAAGTATTGTGGAGTGAAAATTTCAAATTTTGCATCACTCTAATGTACGCCTTCTAGGATATAACTGAATGTAATTGGATGTTTCTTCCGCGAGAACGTGATTACTGAACATTTTGTTGGATTTACAACCATGCGGTTCAGTTTACACCAATTAGCAAAAGCGTTGTGTTGGAGTTGGAGAAGGTGTCAATCAGCGATGGCTCGGATTCGGAGATAGATATATTTTCATGTCGTCTGCGAACGACAGTCGTGGACCGTCGAGGACTATATTGACGTCGTTTTTTTTTTTTTAAACTTTATTTAAGAGTATACACAAGAAATATCAACGGGCCGAGGTGGCCACCTTGCGGAATACCCGAAGTGGCAGGGAACGAAGGAGATCGGCAGTCGTCGATTGCAACTTCCAACTTACGATCAGATAGATAGGATGCGAACCATCGTAGGAGACTGCCGTTTATACCGAGCCTATCCAGTTTGGCGATCGCTATAGGATGGTTCAACTTGTTGAAGGCGGCTGGTAGGTCAGTGTAGATGACATCTGTTTGCACTTGGTCTGTCATACTCGCCGTAATGTACGAGGTGAGACACAGAAGGTTGAAAGTAGTCGACCGCCCTGCCATGAAACCATGCTGATCTTCGCTCAAGTGCTGCCTGAAATGAGAGACTAATGGTTGGTTCCATAACGACCAACTCGAACAGTTTAGATATGCGACACAACTGGAAACATCTCAGATGATTTCCAGCAGGAAGGAAACACCCCACTGGAGAGGGACATTTCGAACAGAAGGCAGAGAGGAGCCACCAGGCTATCGATGTGTTGCTTGAGAAAGACGGAAGGAACTCCGTCAGGTGCAGGCTTAAATGAAGACTTCAGTTGCGAAGCCACCCTAGTTATCATAGCGAGGTCGATGTTGATAGCTGCCAAAGATTGACCGGACATTGGAACATTACTGGCTGCTTGAGAAACGTGCTCGTCAGGTAGGTTCTCATCCGAGAATACACTCGCAAACTTGGTTGAGAACAGACGGCAAATGTCCTGAGGGGATGAAGCTTCTTCACCGTTCAGTACCATAGTCGATGCCAGACTCCTTTCGTGGCTCATTCACATAATTCTAAAAAGTTTTCGGGTGAGATCGAAGCTTCCGTTGAACATCTCGTTGATATAGTCGATAACATTGGCGACAGGTTCGTTGATACGCATGATTGGTCCTCGCATAATGGTCCTTGAGTTGTAGGGTGTGGTACTTGGTGTATTTTTTTTAGCGCGGTTCTTTTGGAAGACTTTAACATACGGAGTTCACTTGTTTGCCAAGGATGATGATTACCTTGTTTAGGAACTTTTTTCGGAACGTGTCGCTCAATGGCGTAAGCCAAAATATGCGAGAGCGTTTGGGCAGCTGCATTGACATCGGCAGGGACGAGTATCCTGTGCCAGTCCAAATTCGAAAGAAGTTCCCCGATACTGTCATGGTCAGCATTTCGGAAATCGTAGGAGACCTCTAGGGGGGGTTGGAATGATCTCAGGAATTTGGTTGCCTTCAAGTGCAATAACAAAAGGAGGATGGGGGGTATTTTGTCGTGCAATCGATAAAAAATAACGAGCAGGTTTACGATTGATTTACTTAATAGTTTTATAAAAGGATAAATTAATTTTTAAACCAGAGAGAATTTTTTAAACCAGAAACTTTCTGACTTAATCGTTAGACTTTAAAAGGTTTTAAAAACATCCTTAAGTAAAGCAATAATCGAGAATGTTTTGCAATATTAAATGCTGTATTTAAACTAAAAATATTGCTAAATGCCGTTATAAAACCACAATAAATCAGAGTGAAAGCCAAAAAGCTGTTATATTGTTACTTGGGATGGTCAGAGTTAGAGATAAAGTAAAACAAATAATTATAAAAAAACGATTTCAATAATTTATCATATAAATAAATATCATTCGATTTTGGCTTGGTTCGACTTTGACAACATTTAATTTACAGGCTTGTTGTCTAATCGAACGTGGACACTGAACTTATATTTTCCTTTTTTCAAAATTTGCAGGTTTGCAAAAAAAAAATAACACTTTTCTGGAATAGTTCAATCACAGACAAACAGACATAACACTCGCAAGTTGTTCATCGAACAAGCATTTAACGGTCAATTCAAAAGTATCGTAGTTGGTAGTACCTCTACCTGTGGCGCGCATAGTCAATTCCCAAGTAACCAAAAGTTCCACATTCAACGATTAAAATCACTTTCAAGTTCCGTAAAGTTCAAATAAAGTTCATACCGAACCTTCAAGTTCCATAAAGTTCAAATTAAGTTCCGACAGAACTTTCAAGTTCCATAAAGTTCGAATAAACTTCTGACAGAACTTTCAAGTTCCATAAAGTTCGAATAAAGTCCCGACAGAACTTTCAAGTTCTATAAAGTTCAAATAAAGTTCCGACAGAACTTTCAAGTTCCATAAAGTTCAAATAAAGTTCCGACAGAACTTTCAAGCCACATGAAGCAATCCGCACAAGTCTTTATTAGTAACAAAATTTAATGTACGTAAATATGAAATGATCAGTGGCCCGAATAAATCATAATTCTTATATTTATGCAGTGCATCAACATTCTATCCAAACATAAAAAATAATTAAAAAGTAATTTCCTGGATTCGAACCCGTGTATTCGGTATGCGATCTACGAACGCTAACCACTGCGCCACAAATGTGTTGGAATACTATGCGGGCAAACACCAATTTAAAATTCATCAAGGTGTTGTGTTTCGTATTCTAGTCCGTCAGCTGGCACTGAAAACTTCAACAGTAGGCGGGACAATATCTCAGATGGCGCAGCGGTTCGTGCTGGGGCTCTCACGCAGAAGGACTGGGTTTAATTCTTCAAACAGTTCCAATTCAACTTCTAATACTGATAAATTAATACACATTAATACCTGCCTGAAGAAAAAACTTTCATAAAGTGCGAATTAAATTTATAATTGGTGTATAGGACAAAAACCTTTTTTAATTTATTTTCTAAAAGTTCCGTTCAAGTTCCGCCAGAAGCTGCTTAGAATGCTCTTCAATTATGATACCGGTAGTTCTTATAACGACTTAAAAATGAGGCTGCTTAGAATTCTATAGACCACCACCAACCAAGCTGCTTAAGCCACAAATAGCCTTTTATCAGAACTTTTGGTTACATGGGTTCCCTTGCGTTTGACGTTTACACACTACCACCATCTGTTCAGCGTAGTGCCCACCACAGTGTGCTCAACAGATGCTGGTAATGTTTAGCGACGATGTTTTGCAGTGAGAAATATTCAATGTGTTATGTCTGTTTGTGTGTGGTTCAATCATTTGGGTTATCGTTCGGGTATGGTATTTTTTATTAGGGAAGGTAATCAACTATTTTTTTTTACAGAGCGTCCTCAAGCAATGATCTGTGAAAGTTGGAATGATTTATCCAATTTATTTAGCTTTAAACTTTTAATTTAGTCGAACCTCTTAACGGAATCCCTTTATGAAGAACTTTTTGAGTGTGTTGATTTATTTCCTTTTAATTCCGTTATAATTGCTTATCTTTTGTCAGATACGCGTATTTCGTCAGTGCCAAGTACTCAACGCCAACCCCTGGTGTTGAGTACTTGGCACCGAGCTTGGCACCAGGCATGAAAAATCATTTGCATTCATTTAGTGCATTCATTTACATTCATTTGCCCCTAACTTTTTTCATCAACAGAATTTCGCAAAATGATGTATGGAACTTTTGTAGGTTTTGTTATTAGCTACAACTTTTGTCAAAAAATCCAAATCCGTATCTCTTATGCATGACGAACCAAAGCAGACAGAATCCACTACTGTTTTTCAGTGAATGTATTTTACATTCACTGAAAAACAGTAACGAGTTCTGCCCGCTCTAATTCGTGATGCATAAGACATACAGATTTGAGTTACTGCCAAAAGTTTTAGCTAATAACAAAACCTACAAAAGCTCGATACATCATTTTGCGGAATTCTGTTGATGAATAAAGTTAGGGGCAAATGAATCTAAATGAATGCATGAAATGAATGTAAATGATTTTCCATGCCTGCTTGGCACTGATGAAGTCTGCAAGTAGTAGATGAAATACGCGTATCTGTCAAAAGATAAGCAATTATAACGAAATTAAAAGAAAATAAATCAGCACACTAAAAAAACTCTTCATTTAAAAGCTATTTTTTTCGTTATAATTTGAATCAGAATGGTACGATTTGATTTGAATAAAACAAGATCGTCTTAGCCCGCTAGGTTTGTACAATCAACAAGTCACCCGTTGGCTAGCACCCGCGATAAGCTGCCCACACAACTTGATCAAGGAAGAAAGCATATGAACGCTATCTCGATGCGCGTATTGATGTGTTCACGCGAGGTCCAAAGGCTCCCTGTGCTCATCGCCGAGTTCTACTTCGGTCGAAACAGAGATCCTCAGTTGCGCGCTGACGATCGAACCGAACGGACGTGAAGGAAAAAGTGATCAAGTGTGAACGGTGAAGGAATTAAAAGTGAAGAAGAATATTCAAATGAGGAGCTGCCTATCTGATTGAGAGGAGTGGAATATATTTAACATATACTGTGTGACTTGGTGATAATTAAGGCAAGAGGCCCATCGAGGGGAGGTAATAGAGTGATTTTCTTTTTGTTTCGCTGGACAAAATTTAAATATGTTAATCACGTTTCTATGCTACCGGTGCCGCGGTTGCAGTTGTGCAAGATTTGCTGTTGGATGATTTGAAGAGCTTAAGAAGGGTTTAAGCGTGAAAATCTTGGGTTGCCGTGATTCGAGCGGTATGGGATAAGAAACTTCGCGCGATGCATGCGAGGAATTTGTGGGTGATCTCGCTGCTCCTAGCACATGGGGCCTGAACCTGAATAGTTTAGATGACGGTTGCCTGAAGGCATGCGAAATACTTCGCTAAGGAAAAAAGCAGCATGAAATTAGCGCTGGTCGAAAGTGCATCCGTTCGGTTAATTTGAACTTGCTGATGCACCAAAGTGCACTCATCATCATCATCACCAACCACAAAACCGGACGAAGCAAGTGAGAATGGAAAAATTGATGAAGATGCATTCATGGGCCGTCGTTTTTTCGTCGTTACCGTCGTCATTTAATCTTTTTTTTTTTTGAGGAAGCCAAAGTAACCGTGATCGCATAGGGAAACGAAGAACCAGAAAGTTATAATGTATTAAATATGTTCGGAGGAGTTGAAGTGAAGTGACTTAGTGTAGAAATGGAAAATGAAAAAGCAAAAGACGGAGCTCAGAATCGTATTAATCTTTTCGTTGTTTCTGCTGTTGCTGGCTTTTCTGGGAATGTGCTGGCTGATGATGTGATGTTTGGACGGTCGTGTGGAAACATATGTGTGTAAATTTAGAATTTTATGCTCGTCTAGCTTTCATAGGGACCGGTTGCGAACGGCTGTGGATGTTTAAAACGTGCTGGCTGGATATATTTACTACGTTTGAATAGCATGTGTGGAGGGTGTGGAGAACGCGGAGAATGAGGAAAGAGTTGAGCTAAAATAAACAGAAGATGTAAATTTCAAATCGCAGGTCCATGTGGTGCTGCGGATCGGCTCATGGTGTTTATTTTGGTGAGATCATCTTATCGGGAGAATTGCGTAATCGAATGCATCGGTCGGTGATGTTTTGTTTGGAGATCGCTGAACGGGGTTCTGGAATCGGTATGAGGGAAACCGCCTTTACAAGTGATGTACATATAACGGTTGAACGTGAATTAAATGTTTAGAATTATTTAGTTTTATTTTGGTCCGTTTTCCAATATTTTTTTTACAGTTGAACAGTTTTGAAGCAGTACATTTAATTGATAGATTTACGATTATCGTGAGACAGGGGTGTAGTGTGGTAGGGGCGAGGGGAGTGGTCCTTCCCGGGATGTCATCATTGGAGGGGTGATACCCACGAGAAAAAACTTAAAGGTCTACAAAGCCCTATGTGCGGAATATTAAAAAATAAATCCATGTTCAAGATATATTTTTTCAATGTACAGAAATTCAAATACATTTTAGTACACAGCAAAAAAAATATTTTGATATCACATCAAAGTGGATACAATTCAATCATGTCACAAATATGGTGTAATATTATTTTCCAAAAAGGACAAAATTATCATTTATACAGTGCATGAACGGACATTACACTGCTTTTACTGCTTTTTTTTTTTTTTTGGTGGCCATAAAAATTACATGAGATTTTCGACATGATTGAAGTGCATCCTCTTGGATGTAATATTAAAATTTATTTTTTGCTGTGTATCAGAATCGATCGATCACGGTGTCCCTGTGACCGTTATTCCAAAATAACCAACAAGCCCGCTAATTCGCAATTTTGCAATATAAGGCCAATATGCGGCTAATATAAAGCTTCGCATGCCCTATGTTAGCCGTGTATCAGCCTTATATTGCAAAAAGGCGAATTAGTGGGCCTGTTGGTTACTTGGGGTATGAACCAAAAATGTCCAACAATTAAATGTATACCAGTCGATAGAGCTGGTAATTTTACGAATCCTCTGTGAAAATCTAAATCCTTCGAGAGATATTGCAATTTTAACCGATTTTAACCCATTTCCCCCCTGAAGCATTGTTTATCTAAATTTGTAACTTTTTTGGATGGATTCCTAAAACATCCAGTCTTGAACAAATTTGTTCAGAAATCAATGTTGTTCGTCATTTGTAGAACATTGCATGCTTCTAATATTGTATCCAACTTAGTTAAATAGAATCATGTCGCTCAAACTTTTGGTAATTTCCGCCGAGGGGAACGACTCTATCTACGATGCAGAAGATGCGAAATAAGATTTATGACGATTCTGAAGATTTCCTGCAAAAAGATGATGCGTGATGCAGATTTATTCGCTAGTGTGAGATTTTTTTGAGCATCTAGAATTGAGATATAGATGTGTCGCCCCTCGGTTTCCGTGAATCTCTGTATATTGTATTACTGTATGTTAGGGGCTGTTCATAAACTACGTAGATTGATTTTTAGAGGTTTAAAATCAGGCAAGAAATCTGACATCCGTTATTATCATGGAATTGCCATTATCTGTTGCATCCCAAAACTTTTTGAATGAATCGTAAACGACAAAAAATTTCAGCAAGTAAAAAATCAAATTACAAACAAACCGCACGGCTCTGTTAAAGGTTGTTCAGCAACCTTTAATCTTCTTGAATTTGTAACCTTCATTCTTAAACGCAATGGACAATGGCAAGCACGTGGAAGCTCTTTATACTGACTTCAGTCAAGCATTTGACCGAATTTACACACCATTATTACTCTTTAAATTGCAAAAAATAGGAATGGAATCTAGACTTCTGAATTGGCTCCAATCATACTTACGCAACGCAAACAAATAGTTTGTTTTCAGAATAAACTTTAAGAACCTATTTCGGTCACCTCTGGGGTGCCCCAGGGCTCTCATTTAGGCTCAATTCTTTTTATTTTGTACGTAAACGACATTTCCTACAAACCTGTGTGGTATTGTTTTGGTATTGCATTATCATAATTTGGTATTGGAATAGTATTGTGGAAACATTTTTTTTTTGGTATTATTCTTTGGTATTTTACCTCTTATGTCATGCTGGTCAATACAAGATTCTGGAATCAGGTCAGAATTAGGTATTCATTAGTTATTTTCTCTTGCTCGGGTATGAAGGTACTGTAGGTTAGAGTCGGTGTATAATGAGTCACGCCAAGAGTGAAGCCAAGTCTCGAACTGTCAAACCAGCTACCTATCGTGCAAAGTAAACAAACATTACGATGCTATGAAAGGTCCACGAAAGGTATTGCAATAAAATATAAAATATAATCCAAGAAATGATAATAAACACGCAGTGAGCATTCAATTGTCATGGGATACGTTTGGTAATGATCAGTAATGAGAATTTCTACTATTTTTGTTAATTTGACAAAATCACTGATATAATGATTTACTACAGCTGCTATTATTTTTTCTCGCTAGAAGTCATTTGAAGTTGATGTAGAAGTCCTCTGTTGCCAAGTTAAAAGAAAGGGAATGTTTCGAAAACCGTGATGCGAGTTCAACTGTTTTTATCTTCGCGTGACTCATTATACATCGACTCTACTGTAGGTTTACTGCTGCTTCTACTACCGCCGCTGGGTATTTTAGGTCGAGTCCTTTCTGTTTTGTAGGTTGTAGTAGAGTCGGTGTATAATGAGTCACGCCAAGAGTGAAGCCAAGTTTACCTATTGAACTGTCAAACCGGCTACCTATCGTGCAAAGTAAACAAACATTACGATGCTTTGAAAGTTCCACGAAAGGTATTGCAATAAAGTATAAAATACAACTGAAGAAAGGATCATAAACACGCAGTGAGCATTAAATCAAAGATGAATACTAAGATGAAACGGTCGGAAGAAAAACTTTCAATTTTAGTGTCCTCTTTCACGGTCCCTTTCATCCAATGAATACCCCCAGTATGCAAGGTAATTTTGTGGTTTTGCTGCCCCCTCGGTACAGATGAAATTTTGGGCGCTTTTTTATCAAAACAATCACACCAAAATCAGAGATGTCCCATTTTTCAATTACTCGATTAATAACTAATCGATTATTTTTTGTTCGCTGTGCTGTCATTTTTCCACCAATGAGAGTTCAAAACTTGTTTGAAACGATCGGTGATGATCCTCTGCAGAAGTTAATGCTTATATCGGCATGTATAACTGATTACAAATATTTTACTGTTTGGCTCGTTAATCAATTAATCGATTATTCGAATGAAAATCGGCCATCACTAGATGAAAGTGAAACGTCATTTCAAATAAGAGGACCGTACATAAATAATGATACAATTTGAAAGGGACCGGGGCTAATCACAAATTACGTCCCCACGGTAACTGAAATAAACACGAGTGTTCACCGGTTGACTAAATTGTCATGGGATACTCTTTTTTGATAATATAATTTGACAAAACCACTGATATAATGATTCACCATAGCTAGTATTTTTTTTCTCGCTAGAAGTCATTTGAATTTGATGTAGAAGTCCTCTGTTGCCAAGTGAAAAGAAAGGGAATCTTTCGAAAACCGAGATGCGAGTTCAACTGTTTTATTTCTGGCATGACTCATCATACACCGACTCTAGGTTGTAGCTTTGCCCGAGAAGCATGATGATAATGCAGAGAAGATGTGTATTCCACTTGCCAGTTGGGTACTTGGTTTCGGCAACCGTCTGCCAGATAAACGCAAGGTACATAACTTTTCCCTACTGGATGGATAGCTTCTGGCATCAGTCACCTTTCCTTAAAGCCGGCAACGAGCTCGTTGAATATTGAAATAGCCGGCGCCGGTGGTGTAGTGGTAAGCGTGACTGCTTTCTAACACCCCAATGGGTCTGGGTTCAATCCCAGCCGAGGTCGGTGGGATTTTTCTGAGGCATAAAAATCTCTGGTCACGTCTTCCTTCGGAAGGGAAGTAAAGCCGTTAGTCCCGGCCCATGTATGTTGAATGGGTGCGATATCCTACGCAGGTGTGGAAGCTGCCTTCCTCCACATTCGTTTGCCGTCAATGGATGGCAATCGATGTCCGTCGGTGATTGGCACTAGATTTCGGAACAGAGACCGACGTTAAATAACGGAAAGAATATTGAAATTTATTGCCACAACTTTTTTTTATGTTTTTTATTTGAAAATCTAAACAATCTCAAAAGTCATAACTGCAGGGTTGCCAAACTCATGGAATACTGAGACTGATATCTTGATTGCCACACTTTGGCACGTTAGCCACAACGCTTGACCCAGATTTCGGCACAAATAAAATACTCAGCATAGAGCGATGCCGGTGGTGTAGTGGTAAGCGTGATTACCATTCACCCCAGCAGTCCTGGGTTCAATCCCAGTGGGCGCCACCGGGATGTTCTGAAGCATAACATCTCTAATCACGCCTTCCTTCGGAAGGGAAGTACACCCGTTGGTCCCCGGTTCATGAGTTGATGGGTCGATAGGTAGGGTCCAGTTGTGGGAGCTGCCTTCCTGGCGTCGGTAGCATTGGTGCTCAGCACGGAAAACAAGATCGACTGAAAACAAATCAAGAAAAAAAAAATGTACTCGGCATTGATTGGGATGTGCAGAGCTTAACACCCCTTGCTCTTTATTAAAATTCAAAATATCCGCACCGCAGAGTCACACTCTGTGTTTTCACTGAAGGTGCACTTGAGAGCGCTCTCAAGTGCATCTTCAGTGAAAACAAAGAGCGTGTCTCTACGGTGTTTCTTGAAAACATTGTTCCTCAACATATAGAACCTCAGCAACGACATCTCTCGACGAGCTAGCTCACTAAGAGCAAAAAATGTTGTTAGCAAGATATACAAAATATATAGAAACGACAAAGTTATCCGATGCCATTGTTGCGGTGAGTACCCAAGTAACCATAGGCACGTTATTTCGCCTTTTTGGCTATATACGGCTCAACAATGGCTATATAAGTGTTTGTAAGTTCTGATAACGTCCCTTTATAGCCAAAATGGCGAAATAACGTGCATTTGGTTACTTGGGTAGTTCGCGGAAATGATAATATTCAAATCAATCGTTAAATGCGTGAAGCTAGCATTTCACATGACTTACTTTTGATTCGATTTACGTGTAAAATAATAATTGAGTGCATCGCAATATTTTGTACCTTTCTTGGTGCCATTAATTAACCAACTAAGATCAATTAATCAATATAGTTAGAATATTGTTTTTGATTCCAAAACCTAGTTGAATTTGAGAAACACACGAAACATAAAGAATTTCTGTTCGATTGCAATACTCTCAAATTTAATGTATGTAGTAAGAATAAGAAATCCTCGGAAAAATTCCAAGGGGAATGTTCGATTGGCTCAGATTTTGACAGTTCATTTGGCTCAAAACATTATCTCCGCCCATCTCTCCCTCTGAGTATTTCTAGTGGAAACTAACGATTTTAAATTGGCTCACTGCTTGAATAGCCTATTGGCCCCAAGTACATCTATAAGCGTACCCTATTCTAGTAAAAATTCTAGTACTACACTATGTTTGTTTTGATTCGCTATGAAAGCTTGCCAGATGAAATGAGGGGTTCGTGGATTTTCCTATGTTTCGAGGCGTGCATTGATTATCTAGGGACGGAAGATAGTACCAGAGCTGAGCCAAAAAGTTGAGCACGTTTCTTCGAGACCTTCTGGTCTTAGAGTTACCTCTATGATTAAACTATCTACACTGATAGGCAAAATAAAGTGCCCACCCCATCATTTTTGAAATTTCTCTCATTTATTTGGTTCAAATTCAAATAAACACACCGTAGTCTGTTTCGATGTCTTACCTTTATTATTCTTTTAAAGTTACACCTATGGAATACTGAAAATATAAAGTTTTACTTGAAGTAAAAGAAAATCAATTTGGATTGAAAAAGAAAACAGTGACAAAAAAAAGTGCCCACTTCAAAAATCGGTATGTTTTCGATAAGTTTCCATCGGAAAACCCCTCGATTGTTTTTGTTTTGAAAGTTTGACATGTATTGAAGCAAACGGGTGGAACTGGTGCATTTGTACACGTGATCGCATTTGAATCAGTTGAAAAAAATGGAGGACGTAGTGATTTCGAAAGCAATTCCCGTGTGTATCCGAAAATTGGTTGTTCGTGATGTGCAAAACGGTGAATCGCACCGGTCTGTCGCTAGGAAGTACAATATCAGCAAAACAGCGGTCGGGAAAATTCTGCAGAAAATGAAATCGTTCGGATCAGTGGTGGATCGCCCTGGCAGAGGCAGGATGCGCAAAACGGATGCGAGAACGGACACCAAGATCATGCGTGAAGTGAAGAAGAACCCGAAGGTAACTGTCCGCGAGATCCAGGAGGCTCTTCAGCTAACAGTTTCCAGTCGAACTGTTCGTCGCCGTCTCGTAGCACAGGGGTTGAACAGCAAAGTTGCTCGGAAGCGCCCATTTATCAGCAAGGCAAACAAAGTCAAACGGCTTAAGTTTGCTAAGGAGCATGCTGATAAGCCCCTAGAGTTCTGGAAAACGGTTCTCTGGACGGACGAATCAAAATTCGAACTGTTCAACCGGAAGCGACGGGTTCGTGTGTGGTGTAGATCGGGTGAGGAGCTTCAGGAGCGCCACATACAAGGCACGGTGAAGCATGGAGGAGGAAATGTGATGGTCTGGGGGTGCTTTTCGTGGGGTGGAGTGGGAAGCCTGGTGAAAATCGACGGGATAATGACGGCAGATTCCTACATCGACATCCTGCGGGAAAATCTGGAAGTTTCGCTGATCCAGACGGGCCTTGAGGAGAAATTCGTATTCCAGCAGGACAACGATCCGAAGCATACTGCCAAGAAGACTAAGTCTTTCTTCCGGTCATGTCGAATTAAACCACTGGAATGGCCTCCACAAAGCCCGGACCTCAACCCCATCGAGAATTTGTGGGCGATTCTCGATGCCAGGGTTGACAAAACTGGTGTTACCAATAAAAATAACTATTTTGAAGCCCTGGAGCGCGCCTGGGAAGAACTAGATCCACAGCACCTGAAGAATCTAGTGGAGAGCATGCCGAAGCGCCTGCAGCTGGTCCTGAAGGCCAAAGGAGGACACATTAACTATTAGGCTGGTATTCTTTTACTTTATTTTATGTTTTCTGGAGTTAAAATGCAGTGGGCACTTTTTTTTGTCACTGTTCTTTTTTACACCCATTTTGATTTTTTTTTCTTCGAGTCAGTCTCTTCTTTTTATCTGGTATTCTATAAGTGAAACTTAAAAAGAATATAAAGAATAAGATATAAAAAATACTACAGTGTATTTACTTTAATTTGAACCAAATAAATGAGAGAAATTCAAAAAATGATGGGGTGGGCACTTTATTTTGCCTATCAGTGTATTTTATGATGGGTTAAAAGAAAATTCAACTGTCTTTTACGTTAGCATTGTACAATGAAAAGTAATCCAAAAGTTTCAAAAGAGCCATCGAATTGATTATTAACAGCTATTGATTAACCAACAGCAAATCTTTGTAACAGCTGCGCGACGATTTTATCCGATTTAATTCTAATTTGACAAATAAATATCCTCAGACCACCCCGAAAAAACCCCATCGCCCCCATACGCGATCGAACGATATGGGTGGTAGTGGAGTGCGCCTAGCGGCGATCGCACTGTTCCTATCGGCAACGGTAGCAACGGTCCGATCTGAACTCACGCCACCGTACTTCAATCTTGCCGAGGGACGCCAAATTACCGCATCGGCTACTTGCGGTGTAGACACCGATGGTCCGGAACTGTACTGTAAGCTGGTCGGCGCCAACACGGAAAACGAGCAACAGAACCAATTCCAGTACCAAGTCATTCAAGGACAGGTAAGATCATATTGTTAAATTCTTAGAAATCGAAGTATATTGTCCTACTTAGAAACTGTAACATGTGCTCGCTTATGAATAGAAATACCAACCGTTTTCACTTTCTTATCGGTGCCCGTTGCGTCGATGGGTGACCGGAAACGAGCATAGTTCATGCTACTTCTTGATAACGCTATCGCCATTGATTCGTTCTTTCTGCTTTTTACACACGCGCAGGTTTGTGACTTTTGCGATCCCAGCATCACGGACAAGAGTCACCCGGCCGAGTATGCCATCGATGGAACAGAAAACTGGTGGCAAAGTCCTCCGCTATCGCGCGGCATGAAGTACAACGAGGTCAATCTGACCATCGACTTCGGACAGGTTAGTGTGTGGTTGAAAAACGAACATTCTTGCGGATGTGTAGTATTGTTGTATTTGGATCATCATCTAGAATGAAGCAAGCAGATGGGTAACGTGTGGAATGACATAATCGCGGTTTGAAGCGGGATTGTTTAATTTACGGCTTCCAGTCTGATGTAATCATTAGGCAATAAATAGGTTTTTAAAGTCAGACGATTATAATATGTTTTTAATGACGCGGATATTGATTGTAAATGTAATATGGGGCTGTCCATAAATTACGTAGACAGTTTTTAGTTGAGAATTATCCACGGCCCATACAAATTTTAAAAATTTTGTATGGATAATTGTCTACGCAGGGGGAGGGGGGGGGGGTCAAGAATCCCAAAAAAAACTGTCTACGTAGTTTATGAACAGGCCCTATGTAGTACCATTTTTCTGGCTATTCTTGACGATTTTTGTTTTTCTACATTAATACATTGGAAATCACGCTTCGTTACTTTTTCCGGATTGATTAAAGTTATTATAACTCAATGGTGCTTCAATATAACCTAGTTAGTAATGGTACGCTGGAAGCGGAGGGTTCGATGGTCTAGGAATTTCTTAGGTTGAAAAAATGTCGCATAATCTCTGATTTCAGTGTTACATCTACCTAATGCTGTGAGCTGAGGAGACATAAAGCTGTAAAATATTTATTATTTTCATTGCAGCTATTTTATTGTATTTTCATTATTTCATATTGTTCGGATATATTTCATTTCTCCATTACATATATTTACTTTATATAAATAAATACTGGGTTGGGAGGGAGCATCAGTGTATAATTTGACCTGAAACTGGACGATGGAGTGGTATGACAACCGGAGTCTAGGAGGGAATAAACACTATCACTTTCTTTATCCTACCGATTCGATGTGGTGTGAATTCTACTCCAACAGTTTCAGTGAGATTGACGCGCCCTTGTTATCAAACCATCCTGTAGGAAGCTTAATAAGTATTGCGAATTGCGTTATTCGATTTGTTGGATCGTATCGTTGGAAGGAGATTCTTAAATTTCCGTGGATTTCGCGCAAGTGTCTCTGCCCTTCCGTTTTTGGCCCTTCATACAGTGATATTGTGAATTCAGATCGGTAGTTCAAATTGATCTTGCTATTAAGTGGAGCTGCATACAAGACAAGCTCTTCGAAGGGATGGTGGCTACCTTACATACATACATACATACATACATTAGCCTGTCGCATAATCTCTGTGCAGAAAATCAGCTCATTTGCTTAACACAGGGCCTGGCCCAAAGCACTTAGAAAAAAAAAATTTTTTGATTAATTTTTCACTTTGATGGCTCATAAGTCACTCAATATACTGTATAAGTACCTCGAACATACATTTCATAAAGTCTTTAGGTAGGGGAAATGGCTCTAATGTTTGCCTATGGATCTAAGATTGGGCCCATCGCTAAAAATGACCTATTTATCAATTTTATCTAGATAAACGCGTCATTTTGATGGTAGTAATGGATATTTTTGGTCGCTATTGAAAATTTAGTCGATCGATGAATTCATCTTCATCAATTCCAAATTAGAGACATTTACACACTTAAAAATTATCGCCGACTTCGGTAATTTTTACCGAAATCTGAACAGCTGAACTGTTCGGTAAACTTTATGCAATTCAATTCAATTGATTTTCAGCTACTTTGAAACTAAATCTTCACTAAAATGACAAGATTTGATCATTTAAAAAAAGTTGAACATGTTTTTAAATTATTTTCAAATTCAATAGCCTTTAAAATGAAGGTCAAAGTTTTACCGAACGTTCAGCTGTTCTGATTTCGGTTAAATTAACCAAACACGAAAATAAAATCTTAGTGTGTAGGCCGACATTACATCAATTTTCCCTATATAGAACAACTTATATGAAGAAATTATATGCTTAAAATGCACGGAAAAAATATAAAAATAAAGTTTCCCGTCTTGCACCAAAATTTACAGGCAAGCTTACACATATTCGGTGCTATCACATCACATCATACAACTTTAGTATGGCTGAAGAACTTGTAATTTTGACGATTTTTCAGTGTGACGAAGGAGCGAAATTGAGTCATGAGATTAATTAGCATCAGAGGCAAGATTGAATGAAAAGGAGTCGTTTCGAGTGTAGTATAGAAAAGAGTAGGTAGTTCAAGAGACTCATATGCTCATCTAAGTAAAGTGATAATCCATCGATCTTTTCTAAGGTTATCTGTTGATTTGAATACTGATCTCATGACAGTTAGGAGTTTCTCAGAACAAATAGTTGAGTCCTTGAAGAAGGTCCCAAGCGGACCAATACGTTGGATAACAGTTAAATCGAAGTTTTTTTTTGATTTTGTGTGAGAGAATGAAAAACACGAAGCTTTACGAAGCCGATAACTTATTGTTCATTGTTTGTAACAAAATTCGCTTAGAGGGGTATATTGTCGAAGGATAGGATTAAAGAGGAGCATGGGGAGCATTGTCACCATTATGATCGATAGTGCGGTTCTAGATTCGACAGGAGTTCGACCGATGAAGCGCAGAAGACAAACAGAAACTAATTAAGAGAGACAAAAGACAAAGGAATTGAATTCTTATATATAGGGGAAATGGCTCTAATGTTGGCCTATGGATCTAAGATTGGGCCCATCGCTAAAAGTCTGCTATTTATCAATATTATCTAGATAAACGCGTCATTAGGATGGTACTAATGGATATTTTTGGTCGCTATTAAAATTTAGTCGATTGCTGAATTTATGTATGGGCCCAAATTAGGGACATTTAGGCCGACATTACATACATTTCCCCTACTATACTAGACATTTGCAGAAACACATAAATCGACTGCATACAGCAAATCACATGATAAATAATAATATCTCGATTGCTAACGACAATATCTTATCCATAACAAATTGAGATATCTTTATTTTTTTTTAAATCACCCTTTGTGTCAAGTTTACGCGACCTAAGATCTGCTTTATTTTCATCGTCCACACACGAGTCAGTCTCGCAAACATCCTGGGTTAAAGACTCGTTAAATCCGATATGTAGCTTTTTCAATTGTTATATCTGTCAGTGCTGTAAATTCTCAAAATCATTTGAACATTTTTGATGAAAATGAGAAAAGTAGCTATTCGCTATCAAAGGGGACCTCCTCCGAATGGATGATATCAGTTGCTTAGTCATTTGACGAAGGCATGGATCATTCTCATTTGAGAAACGCTATATATCATTCAATTGAGTGTAACCTACACAAAAACGGAGCTCTGGTCGACATTCCGGCAAAAAAGCGAAGCCAATCCGACACCAACCTGACTTCTATCAAACCCCAACCCGATGTTGACCCGACATAAACTCAAAATTGACCCGACAACAACACGACATTGGGTCTACATCGACCTTAAATTAGCCTTACATTGATCCGACATCGGGTCGACTTGTCTGTTCGGGACCATTTTGCTGGATTTCTTCCATACTGCACTGTCGTATATCAAATGATTCTGAGTGACTCAATTGATAGTGACAATGAGCTTCGAATGAGAAAGGGGCTCTTCAAATTATGGTCATATGAGAATTCGTTTACACAGAATTGATTGAATGGTTGTATTGGTCCATCTTCAATCAAATGATATGAAAATTTACAGCACTGATATCTGTACTCAGAGCTGGTAACACGGGCAAGTTTGGTCAGTGACGTTTGACGAAAACCAAAAAAAAAAAAAAAAAAATCGCAGTACAAAAACCATCATTTACATAGGGGAATTTACGTATTCTCGTCAATCTAAGCAGCGTCCGCACTTCTATTAGCATTTTCTCAGCGTAACCCACATATATGACGTGTATGATTGCCCAATCGATAGAATTTTTCAAAACGGTTTTAAAGCGTTTTTACAACCCTTCAAACTTCTCAGGTGAGTGTGACTATTGTTGGCAGACTCTTTTTCTTCGGCAACCTTCCCATTAGAACTGCGTGTTAACCAGCTGTTCTATTATCGGCAACTCAAAATCAACCCCATTTTGTAGTGCGTATGCTTCATTTGAAGAAAAATCTGGCATTACAGGATATATGGTCATACAAATATAATCAGATTGAAGCTGAAAGACTAAAGAATCGTTTGAATACAATCAGGGAAGTGTGTTGATGGGAAAACATAGTGAAATTAACGTTTAAATTTTGGTTGCCGAAAACAGTCAATGGTTGCCGAAGCCAACATTTACCCTACATCCTTCGCCATTGACGAAGAGAGGCCGACAATAATCCCTTTGAACAAATCCTATCGCATCGTTTAACTTCACTTCACTTTTGTCTATCATGCATGGACAAAAAAAAGCAAATACCGTCGAACGTGCATGTGAGCAGACTAGTTACCACACTATGAGCGCTTCTTGTTTTCCTTTAGCCTAATGAGCGTTGATGGACCAGTGGTAAAGATACAAGCCCGATAATCACATCGTTGATGGTTCAAGTCCGTTTTGTAGCCGTTTTTTTAACATAACGTATTGCTTCTAACGATCTGTTTTTTTTTTCAAACAATATGGAACGGCTGACTAAAATGTACAGTTTTTAATCCTCTCCCAGTAACCGACAGATCTAAGAGAGAGAGAACGTTCTGAGATAGTTTTTTTTCACGACGTAAATGAAAGAGGACTGTATTGCTGATTGCATCTGAAACTGGACTGTCCCAAAAATGCAAAAAGTGTGATAAAAGTGCACGTTTCCGTTTTATCACACTTTTTAATAAGTGAAAACGCGCTTATTAGTCCAATTTAGTATGAAACGCGCAATATTCAGATGGAATTTGTTATGCGCTGTTTGGAGCAGCGTTGCCAGAATGTTTTAAAACTTATCGGTATCAAAGGTTTTAAAAAATCGGTATTTATCGGTATTTACTATTTTAATTAATTTTATATTTTTGTCGTTTTTCAAAGCGAAAATTTTAACTTTTGAACTATGCTCGGAAAATTCCGGAAGAAAACTCCGAGGAATGTTTTAATTAGTTTCTGAAG